ATAGAAAAATATTTTCTTATCTTATAGAATACAAACTTTTTATCGTACCGACATACCCCTTGTCGTAAAGGATGTACTTTTTGTTACCGTATGGGATAAGTGAATTTGCCTTTTTTTTGCATCGTATGGATATATAATTTTTCCAGGACGAACCCCCTTCCGATAAAAGTGGTAATATTTTTTTTTACCATGAGGTTGAAAAACATTCGGTCAAAAAAAAAAAAACCATGTATTTTTGGTAATGTTTTTTTATGAAAAAAAAAAAATTGGTCTTCTACAACAGTTTTTTTTCACCACTTTTTTGAAAAATTTCAATACAGTACTATTGGAACCCAAAAAAAAAAAAACCCCTTTTTCGACATGATGGTAGAAAAAGCAAATTTTTTCGATATATTTTTAGGTAATAAATTTTTTATCTTACAGATATAAAAAAAAAAAGCAATTTTTTCCGAAAGTGGTGAATTTGGATATATTTTTTAACTTTTTCACATTTACGACATAACCCCCTCTACCAGTGGTCCAAACCTTGTGAATTTCAATATAATTTAATACACATAGTAATATCGATACATTTTTTGTAGTTCTTTTTCATCTTCTGTTCCAAATTTTAACTCAAATTTTATTTCGTATTTCTCATCTATTTTTATTTTTTCTTTTTCTATTACATATTCAGCTGTTCTACTATCTTTTATCTTCAAAATTGTTTCTCCATTTTCTTTTATCTTACATTCAAAAGCTTCGCATTTATAATTTTTAGGATTAGACATTACAGCTATAACACATTCTTTATTCATTAATTTATAAAATTCTTTACTCCATGGTACAAACAATATTGATACTGAATCATACTCGACATTTATATTTTCTACTTTATCTCTTATTTGTATAATATTTTTACATTTAGGTATTAAATCTATTTCAGGATCTACAGCATATATTTTTTTAAATTTTAATTTTTCCCATTTTCCCATATCTCCTCCTTTACCAGATCCTACATCTAATAAACTATTTTTGTTTTTTATCAAACTTAAAAGTTCCATTTTTACTTTATTATGAAAAGCTCTTAAAGAAGGAATTCCTATTCCATAAGCTATTCTATATAAAGGATTATCATCATAAGGAAATCTATAATTAGCTTTATTTTTATCTGGTCTTTCTTTAATTAGATTTAATTCTTTGTCAAATTCATAAATATTATAATTTTTTAAAATACCATTATATCTTCTAATACTTTCATATTCATTTTCTAAATATAAATTACCGTTTATATATCTTAAATCTACAGTAGGTTTAAATTTAGATTTATAAATTAATTTTCTATTAGATATATGAGTTATTATAAAACCATCTATTTTGTATTCATATTTTTTATTTAATATTTCTTTTAATCCTTCTATATTTTCTATTATATAAGCTTCTTTTTTAAATTTTTTATTTATATATTTTCTTCTTTTAATATATATTTCGTTTCTTACATCTATTTTATCTTTCATAACACAATCATAGATTAATATTTTATCTCCTACCAACTCTCCTTCGTATATATTATCTGGATCTGTTATATTTCCTTTCACACTTCCATTATTAAAAATATACATCATTTCATTTTTCTTTTCATAAATTAATATATTTAATCCGTCTGCTTTAGGACTTATAATCCATTCGTTATTAAAATTTAATTTTTTAGATAGTTCTTTAGATGATATTTCCATAGGTTTTATCAAAGGCCAATATTTATTTTTGTATTTATTCATTATTTTTTCTACTTCTTCGTAATTATTTATATCAAATTCTATTTCTAACATATATTCATTATTACATTCAGTTATAGTTGTCAAAGGATTTTCTTTTATAATTTCTCTTTTTATATGTCTCTTATTAGTTTCTATTAATTGTAATTTTAAATCTTCTTTTAAATGAGTTTGTTCAATAGAAAGTACTAAATTAGTGTGATCATTTAATTTTATTTTATCGTATATTTCTTTAGTTTCTATCAATCCTTTATATCTAGATCTAAAAGTCAAGCATTTCATATGATCGCTTTTATAATAAGTCAATATTTCTTCTTTGTTAGGATTGAAATCTATAGGTTTAATTATATTCATTCTTATTTCTAATTCTATTTCTGTTCTTTTATTAAAATCCATTTCTAAATCTTTTTTAATTTTAGCATATTTTTTGAATACAAACATGTTGAATAAAGATATTGTAGAAAATTGTAAAATTATATTTAACAGAAATATGTCTTGGGAAGAAGCGATAATTTATTTCAATATTACTGATGATTTGAAAAAAGTCTATATTAGATATATCATATGTTTATATGATTATAATTATTTATGTCAAATGTTAAATAAAGTATGAAGTTTGATTTATTTTATGCTAATAACAAGGTTGTTGATTATTATTCTTTAGTTTCTACTAAAGAAAAACAAAATTTAGTTTTATCTTTTTTACATCCTGATAATCCTTATAAAAGTTTAGCAATATGTTTCAAAGTTGGTTTAGGTAAAACTTATGCTGCAGCTGCTTTATCTTATATTTATTTAAGTCAAGGATTTTCAGTTTTATATTTATCTAGTACAGTTAATTCTTCCGAAAATTTTAAAAAAGAATATATAAAAGTGGTTGAAGACAATAGACTTTTTCTATTTAAATCTCGTATAAAAACTATGACTTATAGCAAAGTTTATAATTCTATAAAAAATTTAGATTCTTATGATTTAATTATTTTAGATGAAGCTCATAATTTAAAAGAATCAGGAGTTAGATATAAACATATAAAGGATAGTATAATAAATTCTTCTTTCTGTAAAGTGTTAGTTATTTCTGGTACTCCTATAGTAGATTCTGTTTCAGAAATAGATATTTTATTAAATATTTCTGGAGAGAGATCTGATATTATATTTTATGATAATAATTTTAATACTGCTGAAATAGAATATATCGGTACTAAGGTTGGAGATAATGTATTATTTTATTCTGAATTGAAAGGAAAACAATTAGATATTTATAACATGTATAAGAAAAAAGATTCAATTTATATTATAGAAAGACAAAATGCTATTTCTTGTTCTGAAAAATTCGATAAAAATATTCCTTTATACGAACAATCTTCTAAAATTTATGAATTAATTAAAACTCTAGATAAAAAACCTACAGTTATTTTTTGTTTCTTTATTAAAAGAGGTATAAATTTTTTAATCCAAGTATTAAATAGTTTAGGTTTTAAACCTTATAATAAGAAAGGTGATAAACATTATGCTGTTTTATGCGGTGATACTAATAAGAAGGAATCTGAAAAAATAATAAATACTTATAACAATTTAAAAAATATAAATGGTAGTCTTATTAATATATTAATAGGTTCTCTGGTAATGTCTGAATCTATAACTCTTAATAATACTAGATCAGTACATATTTTAGCTCCTCATTGGAATTTTAGTCAAATAGAACAAAGTATAGGTAGAACTGTTAGATTTGGTTCTCATTCTTTTTTATCTAAAAATGATTCTAAAGTCAAAGTTTATTTACATGCTGCTAAAAATACTATAGATGAAAAAATGTATGATATTGCTAGTAAAAAAAGATTTGATATAAATAATACTTTGAATATTATAGAAAAAGATAATAAAATAAATTATAAATCTAACTTAGTATCTTTTCCAGAACCAGATGATATTTTAGTTTTTAAATTGAAAGAATACATTTGGGATTTTACTAATTGTTTTGATAAGAACAAATATAATATATCTTGGGGAAGGTTTTACGGACAAGAAGTTGTTTGTTATAATATTAATACAGGAGAGAGAGTTTTTGGTGAAATATTTCATAATTTTAAAGTTAATTTGCCTTTAGAAGACGGGTATAGTATCTGGAGATCTTGTGTGGATAATAAGTTAAGATTATCTAATATATATAAATTTAAAAATAAGAAAACAAAAAGAGGTAAATTAATTGAAAATATGAATATTAAAGAGATTCAGCAAATAGCAAAAGATTTAAAGTGTGAAGAAAATATATCTTCTATAATAAACATTTTAAAAAGTCAAAATAGATTTATTGAAAAACAAATAATTATTAAAAATGATTTATGATAAAATTGAAGAGTCTAAATTAACTGTAGGTAAGCCTAATAATTTTAAAAACTCTTCTAAATTTTTGTATCCTATTTTTTATGAAGATTCTGAATTACTTTTTACTTTGAAAAATAAATTTTATATTGTTGATACTGTCCAAATCAACAATTTTAATAAAGAATTTATTGAAATAAAATCTAAACAATTAGATGAACAAATTAATAAAGTAGCTAACAAATTTAATGTTTCTATTGATGATAATAAGAAATATGTTATTAATGACAAAACTGTTATTAAAGATGCTAAAATAGATGATTTAAGAAACAATAGATTTAAAGCTTTAATTAGTATTTCTATTCCTACTTATTATGAAGATAAAAACGATGTTAAAACTTCTTTGCAATTATACATCAAAGAAATAATTGTGTTAGAATTGATTTCTAGTGAAATAGAATATGAAATGACTAAATTATCATTAGCTATTTGATTTTTTAAAACTGATTTGCAAAATGGAACATACAGATTTTGGTCAAATAGAAATATTTGAAAATTATTTTCCTAATTTAGACGAATCTACTATAAAATACTCTCCTATAGAATGTATAGAATATAAACAAACATTTTCTGCTTTGTATGAAGGCGCAGAAATACCTATAATGGTAGGTACTAAATATTCTAAAAACAATCCTTTAGATGTTGCAGGTTATTTTATTATCGACGGACTTTGTTATTCTGTTAACAATATGTTTGTAAAGATCAAAAATAATTTTAGGGATAAAACTGCTTATTTTACTGACGGTTCTAAAGTAGTTATTAAAAATATGTTTGAATATAATCTATATAGTAAAGGAAAATCTTATAAATGGAATATACCCGTTAATTGGACTAAAATTTGTAAAGAAGGAGACGACAAATTATATAACCATTTAAGTATTATAGACGAATTTAGTAAATACGACAAATCTAAAATTATTAAAAATGAAATAGATCTAGAAGCTTTAAGATCTATGTTTAGATTATGGTTAGGTATAATAGAAGAACCAGATTATAATTTCAGATTAGCTACTGCAGGAGAGATTATGTATGATATGTTTATTAATAATCGAAATATAGTAGACGCTTTTAAGAATAATAGATGGGTTGTTAAACATATTTTTGATGTAACTTCAGTTTCTGAACTTATGAAACACTATAATATTTATAGCGATATAGAAAGTATAAGAAGAATTACTTTTCCAACTACTAGAGAGAATATGACTTTGTTAGATAGACAAGTAAAAATAAATGAGAAATACAAATTATGTCCTATTCAAACTCCTGACGGCCAATTATGCGGAACAGTAAAATATTTAGTTAAAGATGCTAAATTAATTACTAAAGATTTTATTATTCCTAAATTAGAAAAAGGGGATATAAGAGTTATTTTGAATGGTAAATACATAGGTTCTTTTAAATCTATAGAATCTTTTAAAGAAAAATGCGATATTATAATGTTTGAAAATTACGCGTATATTTCTAGCTTAAAAGGAAGAATAATAGGTAATTCTTTATTAAGTTATACTGCTAATAAAATACCTTTCTTGTTTCATAATCCACCAGTTAGAGCTACTTTTATGACTTCTATGCTAAAACAAAGTATAGAATACACTAATAAATATAATTTTTATATAGATAATACTAAATTTTTGACTAAAGATCTAGATCATAATTTTACTGTAGCTATAATGCCTTGGTTTGGATATAATTTAGAAGATAGTTTAGTTATATCTCGATCTGTTTCAAAACATTTTAATTATGTAAAACAACAGATTTATATAGAATCTAAGAAAGTTATTAAAATATATGTGAAAAAGAATAGTTTTGTAGAAGAAGGAGATATTCTTTATAAAATTTATGATCCTACTGAAATACAAACTTTGATTAAAGTATATGCTAAATCAAAAGGAAGAGTTGTAAGAATAAGAAAAAATCCTTTTAAATTAGTTATTCATGATAAAAAAGATTTACAAGTAGGTGATAAAATGACTAGTTTACATGGTCAAAAAGGAGTCATATCTTTGATCTTAGATAATCCGCCTTATTATATAGAAAATGATATCAAAAATATATAGACATAATAATAAATCCTCATGCTTTTCCATCTAGAATGACCATGGGACAGATCAAAGAAATAAAAGAGAGTTATAAATATGTTTATATAGACAACAAAAGAATAAAAAATAAAATTATGGTAGGTAATTGCAAATATTTGGCTTTAAGACATCAAGTAGAAGATAAATTACAATATTGTAATAACGATAGTTTAGATATAATAAGTAAACAACCTAAAGAAGGTAAGAAAAATAAAGGAGGTCTTAGATTTGGACAAATGGAAAGAGATGTTTTGTTAGCTATAAATGCTTTTAATACTATAAAAGAGATTTGGAATATAGATCAAATAGAAATACCTAAATCTAAAGACACAGGATTATTTTATTCTAATAAAAATTCAGAAATGATCAAAACGAACCAATATTTTATAATTTGTTTAAGTTATTTAAGATCTTTAGGTTATGACATCTCTTTAAAAAATGATACTTACTCTATTATAGATTTTGATCTGTCAATCTTGCCTATTTCTAAAGAAAAATATTTCGGTTCTGATGACCCTTCCGATTTAAGAATTTATAGAGATATAGTTGTTTTACCTAATTGTTTAAGAAATAATGTTATAAATTCTTTATTATCTAAACCAAATATAAATGTTAAAGCTTTGCATAAAGAATACAAAAAATTATTAATAAATAAAAATGGAGCTTTTCATAAATTTTTTGAAGGACATAGATCTAATCATTGTTTTAGATCAGTTATATCTCCTGATCCTAATTTACCTTTAGACGTAGTAAAAATACCTTATGGAGTTAATATAGGTACTAATATATGTATTTTGAATAGGCAACCTACATTAAATACAAGTTCTATGAGATTTATGAAAATTCAATATAAAGAAGATAAAACAATATCTTTTAATCCGTTATTATGTAAATCATTTAATGCTGATTTTGATGGAGATGAAATGAATTTATATGGATTAATGGATAAAAATTTAGAAAAAGAATTAAAAGTTTTGAATAAAGAAGGTGATCCTGTACAAGATTATGTTTTATGCGATTATTTAAGTTTAAAAGATTTAAATGAACTTACTTTTTATGGAATAACTTTTAGTGAAAATGATATAAAAATTATGATAGATAGCGGATCAAAAGGTAAAGAATTTAATTATAACCACATGTTTATTAATATAGGTAAAGTAACATACAATAAAAAAATATATGAAATAAATGGTTGTTATTATAAAGGTATAAACGAATGTGATTGGTATTTATTATCTATGATAACTAGAAATAATACTGCTTCTATAGCATTGAATACTCCTATTTCAGGTTATTTGCAATCAGTAACTAATCAATTAATATTAGGATCTGAATAAAAGGCCTAGTCAAATTTCCGCGCCTTGCCGGGGCGCGTTGAAATTTGCCAGGCCAAAAAACATTTTTTCTATAGGAGTTGAAATTTTCTTATTATTTATTTTAATTATTTTATTTAATTTGATGGAAGTGATGGGATCTGGGGTTATATTTAATTTATCATTTATTAAAGAGCTTTCATATAATGAAGGTTCTAATATGTTTTCTTCTGTTACTACATCTTCTGAACCGTCAGAAAAAATCTCTTAAAATTATTTTCATCTATTTTTTCTATTGTCACCAAAGTTTTTACTTGTATATTATTAGCACATCTTTTTAAATTTTCTATGTTTTCATATAAATCATTATCCACACCTGAAATATGAAAAGCACTTAATGTAGATTGAGTTATAGTAGAAAAGAAATCTAAATTATTTTTTAATTCTTTCATTTTAATTATATATCTTATTTTACATCACATGTTATATCAAATTCAGCATTTCTTTCAAAACTATTAACCCATCTAATAGGAGGAAGAATATATGGTCCTTTTTGAATTAATTTTCTATTTGGTTCTAGCTTTAATTCTAATTTACCAGGTAAATTGCATTCAGCGTTTTTTAACATATTTTCAATCAATTCTTGTGGAATATCTGAATAATATTCATTAAAAGTAACATTAACAATGGAAAAAGGCATTTTAGAATATATAATAACTTTCACATTTGAACCAATAAATAAACTAATTTGGTGTGATGATTTTGAATTAAATGAAGAGTGGTCTGTTTTAAGAATAAATAATAGAAGAATAATCCAAAAAGCTTATCACAATAAATCTCCCTATAACGAACCAAAAGTAGATTTTGATATAGCTTTATATTCTAAAAGCAGATGGTATTGTTTAAATACGAAAAATAATATAGGTACAGTTATTAAAACATATAGTAAAGATGTTTTTGTGCCTAATTTAAAAATAATTAAAAAAGAAGCTAAACCTCATGTATCTTATGTCAAATTTAATTTTGATTTGCAAATATTAGGAATAATTATAAATAATAAAGAAAAATTAGAGATTTTAGAAAAAACTATGATAAAAGATATGTTAAAAGTACGCATTGATAATAATTCTTATATGGAAATAAAAAATTCTATAATAAAATATAAAGGAAATAATCAAAAATATTTTTATGATTTAATAGAAGAAATTTTTGAAAATTATAAAGTTCATGAAAAATATTATAAAGATATTTATAAAAAATTAGGAATAAAAATTAACTATGATTGTTATGAAAGTATAGCTCCTTTAACATGGCATAAAGCAAAAAGAAGTAATCAATTGATATGGCCTGAAATATCATTAACAGAAGGGTTAGAATTTCCAAAAAATAGTGGTGTTTTTTATAAAAGTGATAAATATGTTGGATTAGCAAAAAGAAATGATGATAATCCTGAGATATACATACCTAAAATAACTAATAGAGACCATACCAAATACGAAAATTCTATTTTATATAGATATATAAACAATATAGAAATAGAAGATAAAAAACTTCCGGATAGTTTAAATAAAATTTTTAGAATAAGATATAAAAGAAAAATGAATAGTAATGACAAAGTAGTAGAAATAGATTTTAATGGAGATGTTATAAATACTGATATAAATCCAGAATACGTTATGTATGACGGTTATATAATTTGTGATTTTAATAATGAAATAAAAACTTATAAAGGAAAAAGACCTGTAGGACAAATATTAGATAAAAATAATAAAAGAGCTTTTGTTATTACAAATGAAGAAATTAAAAATTGTTATGGTTACAAATTAAGAAACATAATAACTTTACCTTGGTATTATAAACAAATAATTCATGATTATAATAAATTAGGAAGATTAAAAAAAGGAGATATAATGGATTTAAGCCATATAGGAATAGTTAAAGAAAACGAAACTGATATTATAACTTTTCCTTATGAAGAAGAATTATATATAAGTAGTTGTTTACAGACTCATAGATTAACTACTTTTAGAAGTACAAGTAATGTGATTATTAAAAATTTGACATAAAAATAAAAATGTCTCCAAAACAAACTGACAGAGCACTAAAGATGTTAAAATCATCTATTATAGATGATTTATTAGTTCAATTAAAAGAATTAAAAATAGAAGTTGATGATGAAGAATTAAAAAATACTTTATTGAAAACAAAAAATAAAAGCAGAAGAATTCCGCCTAAAGTAGAAGAACATAAAAAATGTGTGGCTACATGTAAAAATGGAAAACCATGTTGTGTGGCTATGTGTGATAAAAAATTGAAATTATGTTGGGCTCATATGGATGGAGATCAAAGAATTAAATATAGAAAAAATAAAAATGTTACTGAAGTTTAAGTAGCTTTAACTTCTTTACTTTCTATATAACCTCTAACAGATCCCCACTCTCTTCTAAATTTAAGAAATTTAACTACTGCTTTATTGTCTTTGGATTTTAGTAAAAAAGAGAACATATCAGGAGTAACATATTTAGACGGAATACCTTTAAATCTACTTTTTTCTACTATTTTTCCGTCAATAATTTTTTTAAAACCAATATATTGTTTTTTACCTGCGCATATTAAACTATCTAAAGTAGCTTCTAACTCTAATTGTCCCATATCAGAACCTAATACAGGAATATCTCCTATTTTAGCATTTAAATTAAAATCTGATTTTCTAACAAAAATACTATCAGTATCACTATACAAACAAACAGTATTATTTTTAACAGCAGCGTCCCATAATTTTTTCATATGTAATCTAGCATAACTTAAAGTAAAAACTCCGTTTTGAATAGGTTTGTTACCAGTTTCTTTATCTTCTTTACCTTTAACTAATACATATTCTGTATCCCAAACCATATAAGCATCGTCTTCTATATCTATTTCCCAACCTAATTTAAAATCATAAACAGTATCTATCCATTTTTGAGCAAATTTACCCCATAAACTATTCATAATAATCTTAATAACTTGTCTTTTAACCTGATTATTTTCATTTTCAAATTGTAATTTATATTTGTATAAAACATTTTCGATATAATCTTTAAATATTTTACCTTTATGTTCCCATTCATAACCTATATATCCAGTTTCATCAAAAGCATTATATTGTATTTTATGTCCTTCTTGTAAACCTATGTCTATATCAACCGATGTATACCAAGCAGAATATTCTTGTCCATAATTATCTAAATAATAAATAGTATTATCTTCTTTTCTTAAAGGGAAGAAATTAGAAGTAGGATTTTTATTAGGTAAAACAGACACATAATAAACTCCTAATTTATGAGGATTTTTAACTTTGACTTTTTTCATCATACCATAAGGTTGATCATAATATGCCATAGCTGCAGGATATAAAGATTTAACATCTAAACATAAAACATCTTCATGAATACCATTTGTACTTATGCATCTTCCTCCAATTAAAGATTTTCTTATATTTAAATAATCTTCTTTTCTAGGATGGATTAAAAATATATCAGGACTTAAAAAAGCTTTAAACAAATTAAAAGACATTCCAGCTAAAGTATGAGATTTGTCCACTACGTCTGATTGAAAAATATCAAAAACTGCCTCTTTAAATTTTATCCATACATCTGCTAAAACTATTACATCATTTTCGCAATATTGTCTAGCCCAATCTATAAGCTTTTTAGATGTTTTATCTTCACTATAATGTATTATATTATCTGAAGTAATAAACATTCTATCTTTTTCATAATGAACATTAAGAACTTCTTCTATAGAATCCCATTTAGGCAATTTATTATTTATATCTTCTTTAGATTTCATTAAATGATGAGGAAAATCAGTTTTTGCAGAATCAACATTAAAAGCTTTAGCAGCATTAGATAAACTACATAATAAAAAACTATAACTATCTTTAACAATAAATCTAGTAGAATTTAATTCAAATTCAAAACTAATAAAAGAATTATTTCTTATCATAATATTTTTAATAATAGAAGGATCGTGTATAGAAGAAATAATATAATGAAAATCATAATTACCTCCATTATGAGCGATTAATTCTACAGTTTGAAAAGGATATTGTTTAGAAACAGAATTTAACATTTCTAAAACAGAATCTCTTCCCTCTGTAGAATAAATTTTTCTATTTTTATCTTCTAAGTAAGTATAGCAGCATAAATAAGGTATATTTACTTGAGATAAATCCATATTAGGATCAAAATAACATTCTATATCAAAACATACAGTATTTGTTTGATTAAAAGAAGATTTTAAAGGAGTAAATTTTGTTACAGAATAAGAACTATTGATAAATGACAAATTAAAATCATAAAGAACTCCTATATGCTCTTTAAAATATAAAACACAATAATGATCATCTTTAAAAGTATTTTTAGAAAAATGACATAATTGTAAATCATAAAAATTTTTTATATCAGATATAGTATTTATATATGACTTCGGTTCAAATACTACTAATTTTTCTTGTTCTAAAAATTGATTAAAATCTGATATTTCAGTATTCCACAAAAAATTACTACATTGTTCTATGCAACTTTTATCTTCTTTATTAGCACAAAATAATTTAGCAAAATTAAAATGAATAGTTGTTTCAGACAAATCCCAATTCTTAACACATCTTGGAATAGTTATATAATAAAATCTAAAAATAGCTAAAGTATTACATTGTCCTTCAGTTAAAATAGGTTGATAACCATAAACATCATCTTGTAAAGTATTTAAAAGAGAATCTAATTTTCCATAAGCTCTAGTTATATCTTTTTCGAAAGTAGAAGGAGTGATTCTAGTTATTCTAGTAGAAGCAAATATTTTACCATTCTTTTCTATATAAAAATAAAGATGACAAAATTTAAAGCTTAAATAAAATCTTTTGTTTTTTAAATTTTCTATAAAAATATTATATTCATCTTTATAACTTTTTAATAAATCTAAACTAAAAGTATTCAATTTTAAATCAACATTATAAACAGTATTTATTTCTGATATAGTAGATTTTACTATTTTATCATAAGACCATTTAGATACTTTCTCTCTTTCTTTTTTCATTTTATTCTTTTTATAATTTACCTGTGCTAAATGTCTAGATAAATTATTTTTAGAAGCTTCTTCTTGTTCTTCATCAATAAGTTTTATTTCGTTAGAAATTAAAAATTGTTTAACATCTTCAGGAAGAGAATCAAAATTAGATTTGAATTTCGACTTTAATCTATCGATAGCTTCTTTATTCAAATCCATTTTTATATATTCAATTAATAATCATATATTTGTTGTAATCAAAATTAGATTTAAAATCATAATCATTATATAAAGGAACATCATAAATAAATTTAACATCTTGACTAAATGTGTATATAAAAACAAACTCGTCTATAAAAGAAGATGAATTAGAAAAAGTATTTATATATTCTTCTTTAGTCAATAAAGGTACATCTTGTTTTAAGTTAGGCAAATAATAACTAGGAGATATATCATCTTCTATAAAATCAGAATGTTTAATCAAATGAGAATTATTAAGCATTTTAGCAAAAAGATATAAAGATTTATTTTTATTAAAATTATAAGATTTGTTCTTTAATAAATAAACTACAGATAAATCAATATCATATTGAGATAATTTAGATAAAGTATCATCAGAAGGTAAATTTGGATACCATATAAATTTAGGTTTATATTTCTTGATTAAATAAGGTCTAATATCATTAGACATTATCATTCTAGAAACAATAAATTGTTTTACTTCTAAAGTTAATAAAGAAGAAAATTTATTATAAACAAAAATGGCAAAATCATAATCATGAATAATTCCTCTAATCAAACAAGAATTAAAACTGTTGGATTTTAATAAAGAATTTATTTCTTTATAAGAACTTAATTCTTTATAGGAATGGAAATAAGCTGCTGCGTAAATATTATAAAGTTTATTATAAGAAAACATTTTTTAGATAACTAATATAAATAATCATATTTTTATTCAAATTCACAAGGTTTGGACCACTGGTAGAGGGGGTTATGTCGTAAATGTGAAAAAGTTAAAAAATATATCCAAATTCACCACTTTCGGAAAAAATTGCTTTTTTTTTTTTATATCTGTAAGATAAAAAATTTATTACCTAAAAATATATCGAAAAAATTTGCTTTTTCTACCATCATGTCGAAAAAGGGGTTTTTTTTTTTTTGGGTTCCAATAGTACTGTATTGAAATTTTTCAAAAAAGTGGTGAAAAAAAACTGTTGTAGAAGACCAATTTTTTTTTTTTCATAAAAAAACATTACCAAAAATACATGGTTTTTTTTTTTTTGACCGAATGTTTTTCAACCTCATGGTAAAAAAAAATATTACCACTTTTATCGGAAGGGGGTTCGTCCTGGAAAAATTATATATCCATACGATGCAAAAAAAAGGCAAATTCACTTATCCCATACGGTAACAAAAAGTACATCCTTTACGACAAGGGGTATGTCGGTACGATAAAAAGTTTGTATTCTATAAGATAAGAAAATATTTTTCTATC